TGTTTTGCCTCGGGGTTCTTGATAGGCTCCAGAGGCGGAAAATGTATGTTGGCCTGTTCTTTCTGCAGTCACTTTCTCAAACGCGCCGTCGCCTCCTCTGTCTGTTCTACAAAACTTTCATGGAAATTGCTCGAGGGAGCTGCATTCGCTGGTTCCAGACCTCACGAGTTCCAGCGCCCTACGAGGGCTGGCAAACTGTCGAAACTCCTAAATGTAGCCGTCTCTTCTACTCTAATAGCTTCATGTCTCACACCTCTCGCCTGTGGAACTCCCTTCCCTTTCTGTTTCCTGTGAGCTATAATCTCCAGCTATTCAAGTGTAATGTCAATCGACATCTCAGTTGCCTTGATCTATCCACCACCCTCATTTCTTCTGTTTATCTGATTTGCTCTAAATTTTCTGTAACCCCTTGCCGTCCTAGTGGACCTTGGGGTGGAAATTAAAAAAATAAAATAAAAAATATCAAATTCAACTGAAACAGATTTGGGTGTTTAATTATACAATTTAGGGTGACCAATCAAATGAGATATCCTTAGGAAATTGATTGGGCAACACAGATTAAAAGAGCGGGAAAAGCAGCTAAGCGACTGTAAGACGTCCACAAATCAGAAATGCCGAGAGGAAAGGAGATTATCTGATGTCATCAAGAAGAAAATACTGTTTTTTCACCAGTCTGTAGAAAGTCCATCTCAAAAAGATTGCAGCTCCATCCATCCACTATGAGACGATTTACAGATGGGATATATTCAACACGACTACAAATCATCCTAGAAGTGGACGCCCATCCAACATATGTACTTACTTTTTTGTCAGAGATATAATCTCCCAAAGGACATTTAATATTTATACATACATACATACATATATATATATATATTTATTTATATATAAATATGTTATAAAATATATAGCCATTTTGTTTCAACACCTCTGGTGTCTTATATGATGTTGAATCTATTTAAAAATTACAATGTACATTCAACATCAACTTAATAAGACACTAAAATGAAACAAAATTATGATTTTATAACTTATTTATGTTATAATTTTAAATAGATCATTATATTCGCTCTACTCTGTATTATTGCACTCTTTAAGAATAGTAATTGTTGATTATTGAATTTATTCCGTATACATAATCATATACTTGGGTATATATATATATATATATATATATATATATAATATATATATATAACATCATGTGTAAAAAATGTATAATTAAATATATATCTGTAAAAGGACAGTATAAATGAAGACAAACGGAAAACTTAAATTCGTTACGTCATCTTTATCAAGGCAAATCTAATCATTTTATTTTGCAACAAGTATTTACAAACAGAAGTAGAAATTTACATTATTTACATTATTCAGACTATTGTCCTCATCTTTGTCGCCATATTTATTACAACGTTTCGGCCGTTTAAATCTTCTTCAGGTATTATGAATGTTCTGAACTCTTTTATTTCGCTCACTGGGGTAGACTGTTCTAGTTCACTGCCTTAATTAGAATAGTTAATTTGTTGAAAGTTCTATTAACCGGGTATTGAACTCACAGTCTTTGGTTCCTGCCATGAATCCAACGTCTTATCCCACTTGCCATTTGTATGAATAGACAGATACAAAATAGAAATGTTGTTTCTGGAATTGTCATCAATGGTTAACTGAACTTGCTTTGTTTCAATAAATTTATTATTTTAACAAACTGGTAAATGATTGCAGTCAGATACATTAATCTTATTGAAGTCATTGAAATTCTTTTGTTGCTGAGAGGTACTTTGTTTTCAAATAAATCTGTTTTTGCAAAAAAAAAAAAATGAAAACTATATTTACTAATCATAAAAGGAAAAGACAAACGGAAAACTTTTTAATTCAAGAGTCGCTCATAAATATATTCCTCCGGTTAGCTTAAAAGTGTAGGTAAATTATGGAGGATACAAAGTGACGTCATTTAATGCCTAATAAACGAAAATCATTTATTTCCTGTTTACAAACTATATACAAACAATATATTTCTGAAAACGAGTCAATCTACTGCTCCAAGCAACATGTCACTAGCTCTACTGGAAAAGATTTTATCGTCATTTAGAGAATATGCTCTAAATGTGCTCCGTTCTGCTGAAGACACACTTGAATTCGTTTTTGCTATACACGTGATCCTTTATCATATCCCCATAACCAGAAGTCACAGGGTTTAATTGTCCCATATTTCTTTACAACTCCAACGATGACTGCAAGAGTTTGCCATTGATAAAAACCCTACAAATCAGACGAGCAGAGTATTCCTAACAGGATGGTGCACGGCATCATTTTGCCCGTACTGTTCGGGCTTGTTTCGATCAAAGTTTCCCAAATCGATGGATAGGTCGCGGCGGACCATTGGCATGGCCACCACCCTCCTTTGATTTGATACCCTGTGATTGCCGGTTATGGGGTATGATAAAGATCGCGTGTATAGTAAAAAAAAGTTAGAGACATCGAAGAAATCAAGGACAGAATAAAATGTGTTATATGAATCATTCCCCGTGAAATGTGTGTCAAGGCACTTAATTGTACTGTCGATCGCTGTTTTTTTGTGCATCAATCGTGCTAGTGGAAAGGCGGAGACTCTTCAGTAAACTCTGAATAAATGATTCCTCTCATACTGGTATTAACATAATTTTGACATACCCTATATATATATATATATATATATATATATATATATATATATATATACAGAGAAAGTGGTGGGGAAAGAGGTTGAGGGAGGAGAGGGAGAGAGAGAAAGAGGTGGAGAGAAAAAGAGAGGAGGAGAGACAGATTGGGATATATATATATATATATATATATATATATATATATATATATATACAGTCATACATATATAGATAGAGAGAGAGAGAGAGAGATCAGAGAGAGATGGATAGATAGATCAGTCATAGATAGATAGATAGACAGATAGATAGATGAATAGATCATAGATAGATAGATAGATCAGTCATAGATAGATCGGACAGTGATAGATAGATAGATAGATAGATAGATAGATAGATAGATCAAACTGTCATAGATAGATAGATAGATAGATAGATAGATAGATAGATAGATAGATAGATCAGTGATTGATAGATCATACCGTCATAGATAGATCGGACTGTGATAGATAGATAGATAGATAGATAGATAGATAGATAGATAGACTCAGACTGATGAGAATATATTATATGTAGAAGGTTAACTGGGATCACTTATTCCGATTTCTGTTGATGTCAGAGAATTGACCACTAAAAGCATCAATACAAAAAAGCGAATTGATATTAGAATCGATCAAGCAAAATATATGGCGAGTATTAACGAGTGAACGGGAAACAACAACGGCAATCGATAGATGACGTCCGATGGACCTCAAACTCTTTTGACCAGTTTTTCGACCCGAATTTATTCAAATCTATTTAAAACTCAGCTGACGCTTTTATTCCAGTACATATCTATGATAGGATAAGGAACAAATATGAAACGTTTATAAATGTAATACGTTTCGATTTTAAGCTTCATCAGCAAATGAAAAAGAAATGAAAATTCTGGTATTTTTATTTTCGGATTGTTTGGTTTTCATTGGTTAACGCAGACATCAAGTATTTTTGTTCTTTCAGGCAGATTTCGTGTGTGTAATTCTTGTATCTGTGTATCGAAATTCTAGTATCTCTCTGCGGGATTTGGTTGATAATACATGTACGGTTGTATGTCTATTTGGTATATCTTTATGGCTGGTATTATCCGTATGTTGATTTGGGGATGTTTTGCGCGAGAATGAAAGAATTTAAGTTCCACCGGTTGTGGTTGTAGGCAGACAGATCTTAGATTCTTTAAGTATTGATTTTATAAAAGTCGGTGATATAATAAAGAGAGTTTGACGTGTGCTTACTGATGCTAAAATATTCATTAGCATTCCTTTTAAGTATTTTCTATAGAATAAATTGTTCTTTTTTAATTAGGGTGGCATTTATTAAATCGAATTTATTCAAAGGGTTGTCCCAACGTAGGTCTCTCTTACGTTCATAGATGCGGGCTGTTAGATTTCTAGATGTTTCCCCCATCTAACTTTTTTGGATTACTGGTGCTAAAATATTCATCAGCAAATATTCAACTTTTTTGTTTACTGATGTTAAAATATTCATCAGCATTCCTTTTAAGTATTTTCTATAGAATAAATTGTTCTTTTCTAATTAGGGTGACATTTATTAAATCGAATTTATCGCCTATTTTATTTTTCTGTGTTACGGGTGAGTTCAAAGTGTTGACGTAGGTCTCTCTTACGTTTGTAGAATGCTGGTTGTCAGGTATCTAGATGTTTCATCCATCTAGCTTTGCTGGCATTGCAGGACGTTTATTTCATAAATCCCGAAATTTGATGTCAAATTTTGTTGATAGAGTGTTGAAGGGTAAAACGTTTTTTCAATATATTTCTCTTCTTCGTCTAGGTATTCTGGATTACATATTCTATAAGTGCTGATTTTATTTTTGGCTGCGGTGAGAATAGAAATTGATTAAATCTCTTTTGCCTGTGAATTTGCGGAAAATTGTTTATCCTGAAGCAAAAACACTGCACAATAGTAAATGAGTTTCTGTAAAATTGTGTTAAAAACTATTGCGATGTGGGGTCTGGCAAGACACAACACTTGACAGAGTCAGCCGTGATAGTATTATTCAATACTCAGCGAGATAAGTCATTGCAATAGTATTACAGGGTAACTAAAAAAAAAAAAACAATAACAGCAAAAACAGAACCTATAAATATTGTAATAAATCCTATAAAGGTTCAGTTAATTTCAAGAAATTTGGTGGATTTACTTTTCAGTCTGGGTGCGATCATTCCCTAAAGTATTAGTTAAATTGGTCGCTTTGCGTTAGAGGCAAACATGCAAACATTGCACAAAATTGTCAATTACTTGGACGCATTCCTCTTTGGGGATTTGCCTGAATTTTGCTGTGATTGCTGCCTTGGGTTCACCAATCGTTTGAGGGTTGTTCCGGTCCACATTATCGTTGTGATGCCCCCACAAATAAAAACTATATTACTACACAGGTAGGTTTAAAAGAATTACTTAAAGCTGAAAACACAGATACCATAAAAATCTGAAAATATAATAAAATGATATAATAAAACCGGCTACACGACTAAAAAGTAACAATAGTATTGTTATCCGACGAGCTGATAAAACTAATATTTTCGTTATTTTAAACAAACATGAGTACCACTCAAAATTACATGTAATAAATTTAAAAAATTTACCAATACCACCCACCAAATTAAAAACAATATCAGTAAACTTATGACTGCTAAAAATACTGAAACAGGAGCCTTTAAACTTCAAACTTTACAGGTGACTATCAACCTCTCTACCTTTGTCAAAATGTAAAAATCCATAAAAGAAGATCATCCTCTATTACGTATTATTTCACAAATACAGGTTGACACCCGCCCACCAGAAAAGAAAAAACTATAAATATTGTAATAAGTCCAACGAAGGTCCAGTTAATTTCAAGAAACTTGGTGCATTTACACTTCAGTCTGTGAACAACCATTCCCCAAATTTTTACTTAAATTGGTCGCTTTGCATAAAAGTCACGTCCTTTTCAAAATATACTCCAAATGGAATCCGTAGCGTTAGAGGCAAACATGCAAACGTCGAGCAAAATTGTCAATTAGTCGGACATATTCCTCTTTGGAAATTTCTCTGATTATTGCTGTGATTGCTGCCTTCGGTCCGCCAATCTTTTGATATTTGTTCTGGTACACGTTATCCTTGAGATACCCCGACAAATAAAAATCTGTGGGGTTCAAGTCTGTAAGTTCTGTGCCCACTCAACGTCACACTTCCTGCTGATCAATCTCTCCCGAAATCGCTCTCTCGGCCAGGCAAAGGAGGCATTTGATGTGTGGGGAGTGGCCCCGTCTTGCTAGAACCACTGTCCATCTTCCTCAGCAATGCTACATAACGCTCCGTATTCACTGTTTGAACATTATTTACATTATTCGGACTATTGTCCTCATCTTTGTCGCCATATTTATTCAACGTTTCGGCCCTTCAGTATCTGTCTATATTTCTGAGATGAGGTATTATACACTATTTACATAATTCGGACTATTGTCCTCATCTTTGTCGCCATATTTATTACAACGTTTCGACCCTTCAGTATCTGTCTATATTTCTGAGATGAGGTATTATGTACACTATTTACATTATTCGGACTATTGTCCTCATCTTTGTCGCCATATTTATTACAACGTTTCGGCCTTCAGTATCTGTCTATATTTCTGAGATTAGGTATTATGTACATTATTTACATTATTCGGACTATTGTCCTCATCTTTGTCGCCATATTTATTACAATGTTTCGGCCTTCAGTATCTGTCTATATTTCTGAGATGAGGTATTATGTACATTATTTACATTATTCGGACTATTGTCCTCATCTTTGTCGCCATATTTATTACAACGTTTCGACCCTTCAGTATCTGTCTATATTTCTGAGATGAGGTATTATGTACACTATTTACATTATTCGGACTATTGTCCTCATCTTTGTCGCCATATTTATTACAACGTTTCGACCCTTCAGTATCTGTCTATATTTCTGAGATGAGGTATTATGTACATTATTTACATTATTCGGACTATTGTCCTCATCTTTGTCGCCATATTTATTACAATGTTTCGGCCTTCAGTATCTGTCTATATTTCTGAGATTAGGTATTACGTACATTATTTACATTATTCGGACTATTATCCTCATCTTTGTCGCCATATTTATTACAACGTTTCGGCCTTCAGTATCTGTCTATATTTCTGAGATTAGGTATTATGTACACTATTTACATTATTTGGACTATTGTCCTCATCTTTGTCGCCATATTTATTACAACGTTTCGACCCTTCAGTATCTGTCTATATTTCTGAGATGAGGTATTATGTACACTATTTACATAATTCGGACTATTGACCTCATCTTTGTCGCCATATTTATTACAACGTTTCGGCCCTTCAGTATCTGTCTATATTTCTGAGATGAGGTATTATGTACACTATTTACATAATTCGGACTATTGACCTCATCTTTGTCGCCATATTTATTACAACGTTTCGGCCCTTCAGTATCTGTCTATATTTCTGAGATGAGGTATTATGTACACTATTTACATTATTCGGACTATTGTCCTCATCTTTGTCGCCATATTTATTACAACGATTCGGCCTTTCAGTATCTGTCTATATTTCTGAGATGAGGTATTATGTACACTATTTACATTATTCGGACTATTGTCCTCATCTTTGTCGTCATATTTATTACAACGTTTCGGCCTTTCAGTATCTGTCTATATTTCTGAGATGAGGCATTATGTACACTATTTACATTATTCGGACTATTGTCCACATCTTTGTCGCTTTATTTATTAGAACATTACTTCCCTTCAGTATCTGTCTGTATTTCTGAGATGAGGTATTATGTACACTATTTACATTATTCGGACTATTGTCCTCATCTTTGTCGCCATATTTATTACAACGTTTCGATCCTTCAGTATCTGTCTATATTTCTGAGATGAGGTATTATGTAAACTATTTACATATTTGAGACTATTGTCCTCATCTTTGTCGCCATATTTATTACAACGTTTCGGCCGTTGTACGCTCCGGTCTTCTTCGGGTGGTTGGAATGTCGAACTGAACCCTTTATTTCGCTCTAGAACAATCTACCCCAGTGAGCGAAATATTCAGTTCGACATTCCAACCACCTGAAGGATGCCGGAGCGTACAACGGCCAAAACATTGTAATAAATATAGCAACAAAGATGAGGACAATAGTCCGAATAATGTAAATAGTTTACATAATACCTCATCTCAGAAATATAGACAGTCACTGTTTGAAGTCTCTCATTGTCGTCTTCGAACCAATATGGGCCGATAATGCCATGT